CTTGAGACACTGTGTCAAAATAAATAATAAGGACTGGGATGTAGCTTAGTCATAACACTATGTATTAAGCACCTGTGTGGCTAGTCAGGGGGGCAGGTAGGGTCCACTTGGATGAAGATGGCAGGTGAGTCAGTCTCTGGGACTGGCCACCTATAAGAAGCAAGAATGTGCAATGTGGCCAAATGTGATCAATTCCTTCTGTGGAACAACCATGAGTGGATGATGGGGTGTTCAGGGAGGGCCTCTGAGGTGATGCCAACTGAGACCTGGAGGAGGAGCCAGTCTAGTATTGGGGAGTAGGGGGCATGTGGGACAGTAGAGAGCCCCCCTGCGTGCCCCTTCCACAGCCAGAGCCAGTCACCACAGCAGTTGAACCCCTACTCCAGCTGCTGCTCCTGCCTGGCAAGTAGCAGATTTTCACCCCAAGAGGGAGAGAGAGAGAGAGCCAGTCTGCATGAAGGAGAGTGACTTCTTCGGCAACATGCTGTAGCTGCAGAAGGTTACAGCACTTTGATCTTTCTTGACACTCCTTCCAAATTGCATCCTGGCCACAATTCTACATATCTGAGCCCCTTCGGAACTCTCATCCACTTGTTCTGGAAGCTGCAGATGCTTGGAACAAGGAGAGAGTTATTTGATCGCAAAAAGAACAGTTGAGAAATGGTTTGGTTAAATCCACAAGAATGGGGTCCAGGAGTGTCCTGCTTTATTGATCACACTGGGCAGATTGTCTGCAAATGACCAAATAAAAAAAATCCATTTTGAGCTCCCACTAAACAGAAAACAATCCTAGTCTTCAATCCTGTTCCTCATTTATGCCAGAAGATAGCCTTGAACCTCCAGTGGTGTCTGAATTAGGCAACTGGAACTTTTTAAAAATAGCCTGGTCACATAGTACAGACTAAAATTTTAAAGTACCTATGGTTTCTGTCCTCTGACCTTGGCTATGGTTGTCTGATCTTTCAGAGTTAACCTCCCCCTTCACTTCCCTGAACAAATCTGCTGGCAGCACCAGGCTTGCAGGACTGCTGGTCTGTCTTGGTAGCTCATATTTGCTTCTTTGCCCTGAGCAGAGGCACACACAAAAAAGCAGGGCTTGAAACCCAGCAAGGTGGGTAGGGCAGTTATGTTACATGCTTCCAAAGGATTACAAATTAGCAGCCAGGTGTGGTAGCACACACCTGTAGTCCCAGCAGCTTGGGAGACTGAGGCAGAAGGATCAAGTTCAGGGCTAGCCTCAGCAACTTAAATATGTCCTGGGCAACTTGGAACCTGTCTTAAAAAGGATTGGGGATGTGGCCTAATTGTTGAGCACCTTATGATTCAATACCCCCCCCCAAAAAAAAAAAAAAACAGCAGTCAAAATTTAGTACATTTTTATTATGGAATAATAGAGCCAAAAACCAAGTAGCATAATAAAATGAAAGCCCTGATACCTATCTTTCTGAAGGCCCATTTTTCAGGGGTACTGGGGATTGAAGCCAGGGCATTTGCCCAGAGCTACATCCCCAGCCCTTATTTTGAGACGGTCTTCCTGAGTTGTCAAGACTCAAATTTGAGGCGATATGCACACATGAACACCATTAGACATTTATAAGAAACATTTCTTGAGGTTCTGGAGATCAAACTCACGGCCTCATGCCTGCAGGGCGCACTCTAACTGAGCCTCACCCCAAGCCCAAGAAAGCTAATGTGATGTGCATGTCAATAATCCCCTGCCTTCCGAATTGCCACTGGGTTTCCGGCAATAAAATCCGTATGTTTGAGGTGAAGAACATAATCGTAAGAATAAATCTGGATGTCGTAGACAGGCCTGATGTCCTTCACTAGCTGCATCAACTCCTTCTGAACCTGGTCAAATTTCATGTGGTTGATCTCAGTCCAGAAACCCCAGAGGATTTCATCAAAGCTCTCCAGAGGGGAAGGGTACTTTGCTTGTTCCAGCGGCAGGCTGCCGGTGTGGCTCAGCAGGTTCTTAAGAGCAGTCAGGGGGATTTGGTTCCCACAGAAACTGAAGGTTTTGAGCTGGGAACAGTGACCCAGGGCTGGTGAGATGGCATTTAGCTGGGACTCTGTTATCTCACAAAACTCTAAGACCAGGGTCTCAAGGGTGGGTGCCACCTTCTCCAGCAGGACCCGGAGGGGCTCAGGACTCATATCTTTCATGGAAAAAGAGCTGAGATCCAGATACTTCAGTTGATCAGTGCTCGGACACATGGACAGATGCTTTAAATCCTTCTCCTTGAGCGGACAACCTCTCAGCGAGAGTGTTTTCAAGGGGGTCTGACTCCTGGAGAGAAAGCAAAGAGTTACTTCTGGTGAATGAAGGCACCAAGTGGATATAGTGGGAAATGGTAGAAGAGAACTGGTTAATCTCAAACCCAAGGTCGCCCTGTCCTTCTGATGATGGTGGACCCCCAGGACACTGGGAGTTGCAGAATCTGCTCCTAAACATCACCCAATTTCAGGGTGAGCCTTTCACCACCACTTGAGTGACCAGGTGAGTCCATCATCTCTAAGGCTCCTCCCCTCATTTCCAAGCCCAAGGCCATAGCTCTGGCAACAGGAGGTCAGGGGGAGTCATGTATGAAGAACAAATCCAGGCAAGATGAAGAAAACCAACCAGGGTTATCCACCTGTGAAGCTCACACCCTGTACCCTCCATCCCTCCTCCTCACCCTCAACTCCAGAATCACCACCTGAGGCTCAGAGCAGCCTTCCCCGGGGGGGGGGCATTGGGGGTGGCTCCTCTGCTCCCTGCTGGAGAGCACAGAGCTTCCCAGTTGCAAGGTGCAGGTGTGGAGGCTTCCCTCCTCCAATGCCCTCTCCTCTACCCCATCTCCCACCTCCTTCGCTGGACAGGCCTCCCAGGGAAGGAACCTCACCCACCCTCACTAGCTCCTTTCCCACCCAGCTGGCTTCCCAGCATGGTGGCACTTCCCATAACATGCACCACGGTTTAGCCCTCTGCTTCTGTGTGGGTGGTGATGAGACCCTCCTTTAGGACTGAGCAGGGGACCAGACCAGGAGGTCACTCGGTCACTCTCCAGCATCTCCTTCCCTGATATGGCCAGTGGCCGGGGCACAAGCCCTTTTAATGCTCGGTAAGCAAAAATGGCTTTTGCGGCAATGCGCACCCCTCGTGCTTACAGGAGGATTTTGTGCAGCGCTCCGTAGAGGAAGAAGACGTTGGTCACATAGAGCTCACGGAGTTTTTTTCACCTTCCGCAGTTGAAGGCTGAATCTATGGGAAAACCACCTGTTTACCGAGTGGCTGGTGAAGACCTGTGGGCTCAAGTCGGAGAGATGGAGGACACGAAGGTTCCTCATCTCGATCAGGCAAAAACAAAAATGTTCCATTATTTCTCGAGTCCAGTGCTGAGCATTCACCTCCAGTTCCTGCACGTAGTACAATGGCAACGTCCTCAGGAATTTAGAGAGTTTCAAGTAGAAACCCCCGATCTGCAGCTTCTTGCAGTATATAGGGACCACCCCCTTTCTCTTCTCCACCCACTCCCTGAGGCTGCCAAGGAATCTTTGGAAGACTTTGTCCAGATCGAAATCTATGAAGATCTTCAAGTGTGGCTTCGCTGCTCTTTGGCTACATTTCTCTCTTTCCTTTGGAGACATGGCCTCTTGTGAGCAGGCACCCAGTGGGGCTCTGGACCACTCATTGCAGCTGTCCTGATTCACTTCCCGAAAATCGATTGCTTTCAGTTTCCATTTCCTATGGAGAAAATGGGAAGGAGGTTCGAAAAATAGACAAAGACTCGCCCGACTTCTAACCTGTGCATTAGACCCCAGTGAACCCCTTGTTCTGGGTGGCTACTCCTCTGCTCTCCTATGTTTCTCCATGCCCTTTCCCCTTGAATCCAGCCAGAGACCCTTCCTGTGGAGGGGCAGAGCAGCCTCCTCCCTGGCATCACCTGGTCCTCCCTTCACCCTGTCCTGCTTCCCTCAGCTGTCTCTTCCTGGGCCCCCCTCACCTGGGGTAAATGTTCTGGGAAATCAGCAAGTCTAGCCCATTCAGTAGGGTTTTTAAGGCCTTCACATCTCTTGTCTTCAGCAGGTACTCCACAGGCAGACAGGGCAAGGGGCAGGACAGCACCATTTTATTTACCATCTCCATGTGACCCCCCATTATAGCCTCCTTGTACAACTGCAGGGTGAGCACCCTGGGCAGATACTCCAGATTGGGGATGGGCAAGACCTCGTTGCGCAGTACGTTCTGTATCACCAGGTCCTGGAGTGTGGGTATGGTCCTGATGCTCATCCTGTTGAATCTGCAGGGAACAGAGGCACCCTTTCAGGCCAAGCCTGAAAAAAACCCTCCTTAACCAGTTGAGGTCCAAATCCTGGTAAGCCACAGCGCTGTGGTGGTGGGGATCAAATCCCCAGTATCCAGTTTCCACCTCTGGTCCTCCCAACTCTAATCCCACTGGTTATTAAGCAGTCTGAAGGCTCACCAGTCCCATTATGGACAGGTGACTCATCCTCACTTTTGAGATCCTGGGGAGTGAACCAAGGGCTGAATGCATGCCAGGCAGGTGCCTTACCACTGATCCCAAACCTAAACCTCATGTAGGACCCCCTTAAAGAGAATAGAAATGACACAGGGCCAATGCCCAGCCTGGTGACATAAGCCTGTAATTCTAGCAACTTGGGACACAGAGGAGGACCACAAGTTCAAGTCCAGCCTCAGCAACTTAACAAGATCCAAGGCCCTCATGAGAGACCAAATCAGAATAAAAAATTAAAAGGGCTGGAATGTGGCTAAGTGGTAAAGGACCCTGAGTTCAATCCCCATTACCAAAAAAATATTTTTTTTTAAAAAATGAGAACCTCAAGTTCAAGGGCAGACTGGGAAACTGAGCAAAACCTTGTCCAAAGCTCAAGATGTGGTTCAGTGGTATCAAGCTTGCCGAGCATGTGAGGCCCTGGGTTCAATTCCCTGTACCACACATACACACACAATACCATATACATATGTGGACATGTACAGATGTAAATCTAGATATAGCTATACCTTAGGGCTGTGCTGAGGGTGGTAGCTCAGTGATATAGGAGGTTACTGAGCCCACATATAGCCTTGGGTTAGATCCCATTGGACCACAAAAATGAAAATCAGAACTTTTTGTTGCTGAACTTAGAGGAAGTTTATTTGGGGTTCCTGGTTTCAGAGGTTCATTCCATGGACAGCCAGCTCCATTGCTCAAGAGGCAGAAGAACATGACCAAACAGAGCCTCAGAAAAGCTGATCAGTACAGGGCAGCCTGAAGTGGTGGGCATGGTGCCAAGAAACTTTAACAGGGGTTCACGGGATGCTTTCACTATATCCCTTGTGGCTTTTTAACTTACATGTTTCTCACTCCACCCCCCACATCTTCTTTTCTCTAACTTTCTCTTTCATGATCTTCCTGATGTCCTTCCTGATCTATCCTTCCTAATCCCATTTTCTAGAAACACCTCTATAAAAGCCCCCTGTTCCTGAGGATAGGCAGAAGCACAGGCTTTGGGACACTAGTCCCTTTGTTTCTTCTTTGCTAGCAAAACAATAAACCTTTTTCTTTTTTCTCAATATCTTGTCATTGCTATTGGATTGGCATGGAGGATGGGGACCAAGCCTTTGGTGGCAAAAATATAAACCCAAATGACACACCCACAGGGACCTATTTCCTCCAGCCACACCTCAGCTGCCTAGAGTTTATCACCCAGGATGTAGTCCTATCAAATCCATTAAATAGATGAATGTACTGATTATGTATCTTATAACCCAATCCTCTCACCCCTTACATTAACACTTGAACCTTTGGGAGAATACATCCTATCCAAACCGTGACACCAAAATCCAGTAATAAAACACTGATATAAAAAAATGTATACATCACATATATGAGCACATATTCCTTTGTTTTGTGGTGATGGGGTTTGAACCCAGGTCCTCGTACTAGGCAAGTCCTCTAACACTGAGCACACCCTCACCCTGTTTTAAGCTCTAAATATAAAATAACTTGTAAAATCACAATACCAAAAATTCCATTAACTGTCATTTAAAAGAGTATAGACTACATATGCAAATTGTCAAGAAAATCAAAATCAAATAGATAGGTCTCTCTTAAAAAGTTTGGACTGGGCCAGGCGCAGTGGCACATGCCTGTAATCCCAGCAGCTTGGGAGGCTAAGACAGGAGGATCTTGAAAGTCAGCCTCAACAATGGTGAGACAGTAAGCAACTCAGTGAGACTCTGTCTAAACAACTTAGTGAGACCCTGTCTCTAAATAAAATACAAAAATAGGGCTGGGGATGTGGCTCAAATGGTTGAGTGCCCCTGAGTTCAATCCCTGGTGCCCAAAAAATAAAAAAAAAATTGCTGGGTGCAGTGGTGCATGCTGGTAATCCCAGCAATTAAGGAGGCTGAGGCAGGAACATCAAAAGTTTAAGGCCAGCCTTAGCAATTTAGGGAGATTCTAGGCAACTTACTGAGGCCCTGTGTCCAAAAAAATAAAAAAAATGTAAAAGGTGCTGGAGATATAGCTCATTTGTTAAGCAGCCCTGAGTTCAATCCCCAGTCCAAAAAAAGTCAAGTTGCAGGTCACCCACAGAACCTTAGCAAGACGTTGACCAACTTAGGTAGACCCTGATTGAAAAAAAAAAAAAAAAACAGGTCTGTGGAGATGAGGCTCAGTGGTAAAGCATCCTTGGGTTTAATCCCTAAAGAAGCAGCAGAGGCAGCAGTGGCAACCTGGGCTGCAGTCAACAGGGCAGACTGGCTGTGGGTAGACAGGGTGGCACATCCTTAGGGAGGGCTGTCACTTACCCTATCTGCACGTCTGGATGGAATGTTATGGCTCTCCAAGTGTCAACAGATTCAGGCAGTGACTCTTGGTCCAGGATTCTCTGGAACCTTCTCTGGCTGGTCTGAAGCTTTTGTTCCTCCTCTCCAAACCCCTCCCTTCTAATTGGAAGCTCATATCTGACTAGATTATTGAATCTCATCCAATTAAACCTGGTTGGATTTTCAGCTTATTGATTGGTATTGGCAGATCTCCAGGCAGGAAGGGGAAGGGATTCTGGGTGGGGTGCAGATCCTCTCATGGATTTCTTTCACAGAGTTTCATTCACAGGGTCACCCTCAGTTCTGAGCATGAGACACCAATGGACTTAATCTGATATTGGACAGAGAGAAACACCTGAAAGCTCTTTGTTCAGGGTTCCATGGCCACACTAACATTGTGAACATGTTCTAGAGTTAAAATCTCTTATGTGTGATGGCTCACTTCTTTAATCCCATCTACTATGCCAGCAGCCCCAGAGGCTGAAAGAGGTCAATCCCTAAAGGGAAGAGCTCCAGGCTAGCGTGGTCAGCAGGGTGAGAACCCATCTCAAAAACAAAAACAAAAATGCTTTATGAAACCGGGCGTGGCAGCACACACCTCTAATCCCAGTAGCTCTGGAGGCTGAGGCAGGAGGATTGCAAGTTCAAGGCTGACCTCAGCAATTTAGCAAGGCCCTGAGCAACTCAACAAGACCCTGTCTCAAAATAAAATACAAAAAGTGGCTCAGTAGAAAAGAAATTGGAAAAGAGTTGCTAGAGACACAACAGAGACTCCTAAAACCTCTCGCTATCCTTGAGGACAAGGAGGGAGAATCAGTCTTTTGTTCCCGTACAAGGTAAAGGATGTTTCAGGGGGATCGGCTCAGCAAACTAGCTTGAGAATATTTTCACCAAATATGAGCTGGGACTTGAGACCACAGAGAAGATTTTACTACCAGCCCTGGGAAGGCCACTTTTCCATATCTGAAGCCACTGATGGTGGAAGCTGTGGGTACCTCTCAGGATGTTGGGGAGCAAGAAATATAGGTCAAAGTGTGGGTCCCTCTCATCATGGCAGCCACCACCTGGAGCCTTTCAGTGTCAGAGTTCTTCCTACAGAGGCATTTCCCAGGCAATGCTGAGCCCCACACAGTGCCAGGGTCCTTTATCCTAGAAAAGCAAAGTCTAAGGAACAATCACATTTTAAAGAGTGTTAGATAATAGTGAGGCATGGTGGTACAGGTCTGTAGTCCAAGAAACTGGGGAGGCTGAGGCAGGGGGATTGCAAGTTTGAGCCTGCCTCAGCACTTGAATTTAGTAAGACCATCAGCAGCATATCAAGTCCCTGTTTAAAAATAAAAAGGACTGGGGAAGCCAGGCACAGTGGTGCACACCTATGATTTCAGCGGCACAGGTGGCTGAGACAGGAGTATCTTGAGTTCAAAGCCAGCCTCAGCAATGGTGAGGCACTTAGCAATCACTGGAACCATATCTCTAAATAAGATACAAAAATAGGGCTGGGGATGTGGCTCAGTCGTTGAGTGCCCCTGATTTCAATCCATGGAACCCCCGCCAAAAAAAAAAAAAAAAAGGACTGGGGATGAAGTTCAGTGGTCAAGGGCCCCTGGTTTAAATTCTTGGTATAAATAAAAGCATGTCAGATAAGAGTTATATGATGTGTTATATGATAATAGTTATATGGCTATTTTGGACTATTTTATGCTCTAGGCTCTAACAGACTAGACTGAAAATCAAAATGCAGTAACCCATATTAACACTCAAATAGAAATTAAGTTGATATATGACCTTTGTAAAAATCAGAAGAGAAAGAAGACAAAACCGAATTCCCAAACAGGCCTGTGTCAATGGCACGAAAGTTTTAATCATTATGTCTTTTTGTGCAATCAAAAATTCAACAATAGGAGCCAAGCATAGTGGCACATGTGTGTAATCCTAGCAGTTTAGGAGGCTGAGGCAAGAGGATAGAAAGTTCAAAGCCAGCCTCAGCCATTTAGAGAGGCCCTAAGCAACTCAGTGAGACCCTGCCTTAAAAATAAAATTAAAAAAAAAAAAATCAAAAGGGCTGGGGATGTGGCTCAGTGATTAAGTGCCCCTGAGTTCAATTCCCAGTACAAAAAAAAAAAAAAAAATCAATAACAGGGAAAGGGAAGAGCTCAGTGGAACAGTGTTTGCCTAGTGCATGTAAAACCTTGGGCTCAATCCCTGGTACAAAAAAAAAAAAATTCTAGCAAAAATACTATCTTTTTTTTTTTTTTCTTAATGTATCCTGGGGATTGAACCCAGGGGTGCTTTACCAATGAGCCATGTTCCCAGTTCTTTTTATTTATTTTTTTTTTACTTTGAGACATGGTCTCAGAACATTGCTTAGGGTCTTGCTAAATTTCTGGGGCTGGCCTTGAACCTATGATCCTCCTGCCTCAGTCCCCTAAGAAGCTGGGATTATAGGTG